ACTATATGTTTATTTATGCCTAAAATTAAATTGCATGGGAACACTGAAATGCCTCACAAACCTAACATACAGATTATGATGATAGTAATACTTTCATTTTCACTTTCTGACACAAGAATGCAGGAGGAGCAGGAATACTGCAGGGGGGGATCTGGGAGACACTGTGTTAGGTAACGACAGTCAAAATGGCAGTAAAGGCCAATAACACGCTGCAATACAAAAGGTGTGCAAAGGAAAACAGGTGCAGGCGCTGCTATTTCCCAGAGATGTTCGTAATGTGTCCCTCATACACGTATGTCTGACTGTCAACATGTTTTTAGCAAGTTAACGTCCATAATGCTCCATTGTACTGAATCTCCCTAATGTCAAAGTTAAAATGAATGTCATCCTTTTAAAAGGGTGGTAAAAATGTATGTAAGTGTGGATGTGCATGTACATTGAGAGAGAGAGAGTGAGGGAGAGAGAAAGAGATTTACACAGGCCCTAGTGGTGCTTTATTGGCTGTGAGGCATTGCAATGGCCCAATGACAAGAGAGGGGTCGGTCTACAGCCTCTTCTCATAGCAACCCAGGAAGCATTCGGAGATTATCATGCGCAGTATCAGAGTGCTAGTGTGTATCAGTGATGACAACTGACTGAGGAAGAATTTATTAACATAAAACGGAGGGACAGTCCTATTAGGATTTCACTATGAAATATTGGAAGTGAAAAGCAGCTCCGTTGAAGTGTATTGTAAAAGTCTACTGAAGTACTGCTGACATCCGTGGCCCTCTTCTTCCTAATGGTCTTTAGGTTATAAAAGAGAATGATTTGGCATTGAATTGTGTAACCTGAAGATGCAGCCGCATCCAGAGGCTGCTCATTTAACCCCTGGTTGTCTCAGCTCTGTCCTGTTAGGACAAATGGAGGGAGGAGGGGTGGGATATCTAGGCCAAGATGATGCCATAGGTCAGACAAGAGTGTTACAAGCGTGAGCTGAACTGGCAGGAAGGAAATCCAATTGGTACACATACATCCAGGAACTGGAGTTGGAATAAAAAAGTCTAGATAGGGCGCTGGAATAATATGAAAGTGTGTCAGTGTCATTCAGAAATATCTGAACACATATGTTCTAAAGCTAAAAAAAGCTTTAAGAAAATGCCTTTGTTTGTTGTGTCTTGGCTTTCACGCTCACTAACTGATTATAAAATGATCAGGACATGCCTTTGTCAACTTGTTTTTTATTTATTTGTATAGTAGTTGCACAACCAGTATTGTCATGTCCATCATTATAGCTCTATCGCCACCCAGTGTCAGTCATTTCCACTTGAATTCATGCATCCATAAAGAGGGCAGGAGATTATTGTTAACTGCAGGAAGTCATTAAAAATACCTGAGCTTGATTGTAGATTTTGTTTCTACTTAAAGTTAATTCTATTACTTAAATTAATAGTTGTTAACTCAAAGTAAACATGGTTGATTTTATTGTTTCCCTTAAAATGTGATATTCAGCCATGCTTGTTGATACAGATACATATTTCTTTATAAAAAATCTACATCAGGCTGTCGACACTTTAGAGTAGTCTGCATTCCTGTCATGCTTACATTGCGACTAGGTGGGGTTCACCTCTTGGTATCATGCGGTCACACCCCTGCCTGCTATGTACCTGTCATACCTTCAATCGTCCAAAACACGACACTCCCAATAATGAAGCTTAACTTCAAGTCTGATTGTACAAGTTTTGTATGTACCCCTGATTATTTAGACTTCTATGAGGAAACTTATATCTGTTATAACTAACCCCTTTGGATGGCACAACAGATGTCTTAATCAGTATGTTTCATTCAAAGTTCCAGTGCTTAAGTCTGTGGTGAGATCTCAGCAACATTTGCCACTTGTGTGATATGTGCCCATCTTATTACCAAGATCTTTACGTTTCTTTGTGAGCGATGAAGGTGTAAGTACTCATCTTAGATATTCTGACATTTATGTCAGTGATGATAACTAAAGTTGAAACCACCTCACATGTAAAGTCCACTGTCAACCAGGTATTTTATTGAAATGGCAATAGGCTATTAATACACAGTCATAATGCAGGATATAATACTTTAGAGGGAGCTTGTTTCTCATATTAACATCAAAAGTCAATAATATATGTAGACCAAAGATCAATATATATTATAGTTCCACTTGCATTATGTCACAGTTAATATGGATAAAAAGTTTCACATCGAGATTACTATTTAATAGTGTCTCCATTAAATAATATTCCATTAAGATCAAAGTCAGTGCAGGTTAGAGAAGCCCCACACCCACATTGCAGTTCTGCTTCCTTGAAACCTAAGTTGAATTGCAGGTCCTTCAGCACTCCACCCAATGCTAATTCTATTCAGCCCACAAACAGACGGCGGAACATGTAATGAGGTATTTGAACCGTGATGACGGAAAGAGAAAAATCTAGAGTGAGAGGGTGACATGAGAATATTCTTTGATTGTTGTCTGAAGCCACACCCTTGGGTGGCCTTTAAATCTCCTCCCTTAAGGTTAAAAGCAGAAGGAATGACAAGGGTGTGATTGTAAAGTGCAGAGTAATAAACAGGTTTTACACCCTGAGCTCTAGTGAGAGTTTAATTTATCCGCCCAGCAATCCACAGAGTGAGGTACGTACCCCAGTCTCTTTCTAAAGCCTTTGCCAGTTTCCAGTTTATTCTAATATTATTGTGCAATGATATTTAATACTTAGATTTAAAAATGTGCTTAGAAAGATTGTATGTGTGATACTGATTTCTTTGAGATAAGATGCTTTGCATTAAGGTGCTATGGTCCTAGAAAAAAATAAACTATAAAAAAAATGATTATGTAATAATGTACTAATGTGTTCATTACAAAATGTATTTTTTAAGTAACTTTACTGTGTGGAATACATGTTTTACTGATACATTGACTCACTATAGACATCACACACACATACACACACTCTAGGATGTCAAGTCCAAACTTGCTGCTAACCTCATATCTAGAAAACTGATTGTACATAGCAAACATTAATGATTTGTATTGTAAGTTCTAACCTGTACAGTTGGAATGGCACTTTCTGTTTTAATAGAATATTTTCACTGATGATGATCGCTGTTCTGAACGCTGAACTGATCGCTGATATGCTACATGATGTTATATAGTCCGGAAATGAAAGCATCCCATAGAAATTGAATTAAGGACTGATTTCAGATTTGGATTATTGAATAATCCTCAAGAGCAAACTTTCAGACCTTCCAGTCTTACGAGGCTAGAAAACATATAGACTCATAAACAAAATATTCTATTTGAACAATCTTAAAATCTGTTTATTTTTGACAGTGGTCAACAGTTTCAACCATTCAGAAAGCTCCAAGACAAGTTCTGTTTTACCTCTTTAACCCAAGACATCCATTACAAACTACTTCACACAAGCCAAAATAAACCCAACACTGAACCCAATAAATAATAAATAATTAAACATCATTTATCAGACGGTTAGATTGGATAGATGTTGCATTTACAGTTATAACTTATAACACAGACTTGAGCGTGCATGTAGTCTAAAGGGCACAATCTTTATCAGCAATAGCTAATGGCATGTCACTGGTACGCCCCTCTGTTTTGCTGACAAAGGTGTGTTTGGAGAAGGTGTGTTATGGAGGGTGGGTGTGTCGGTAAAAATCAAGACAAACCAGTTTAGGGCTTAAACTGTGAGTCTGGGGTTGAGCAGAGCTTTAGTTGATATATTGCAGACATAGTGACAAACATGTTCACAAAACCAATCCGATGAGTATATGAGCGCTCATGAGGAGAAAAAGATAAAAAGCATTGACTCCTTAGCTTCTTGAGTTGAGTTTGCATGTGTACTGATCTCAGGTCAAACTTCAACACAGAACAAGCAGTGTGTTTGAAAGGTCTCAGCCCACAGGGCCACCTAGTGGCTAATGTACTGTAGTTCCATTATTTGATTAATTCTTTTCTTGTTTCCCTCTCACACTTACAGGTTAATTTACAAAATGAGCAGGTTCTCAGCAAGTGAGTATTGAGAAATATCAAATAATAACATGAATTTCCATTTAGTGCAGACACTTATCCCAGATTCAATATTCAAAGTTTACATTTGTCACATGATGTTCATACAGTTTAATAATACGTATATTAGACTGCATATATTTATAGATTTTATCCTTTATATTTCTTTTTATCTCTTATTTTGCCTTTTACACACTAATGTTTACACACTAATCTTTCGCAGCCTTCAGCCAAGTTGCATTTTACTGCACATATTATTATTATGTGCATGTCTATAATAAATAATGATTAAAAAGAGTATAAATAAGAATTATAAAAATATAGATATATGTAGTCTTAATAGCATTATTAAAATCCATACACATGTTAATTAGTACATATTGACTAGGCTATATTTTATTGAATTAGGTCCATATAAGACTTTACCTACTCAAAAGATTTGTTACTGCTTTAATATGTGCACTGGAGACACTCAAGTTTTCCTTGTCTTGTGTTTGCAGGTAAGAACTCTCTCCTGCAAGACAACAGCTGGATCAAGAAAACTGATGATGAGGATGAAGACGTTGAGTAAGTCATGTAAACATAATGGCTGAAACACTGATAATATTCCCACACTGGCAAATGGGCGTACACACATGAACACACACATCTAGGAAATGGCAGAACTGTTGGGTGTGAATTGTGGTTCATATCTCATTTTACCCTCATCTTTAAAAAAGTCTCATTATACATTCCTTTTGCAAGCCACAGTGTTGAGTCATCTCTTGAAGTATGAGTTAATTAATTTGTTCTCCTTCTTTCCTCCTTCAGCCGAGACCCAAACTTTGGCAAAATTGTTCTAAGCCAGTACAGATCCACTGAAAATCTTGGGGGGTAAAAGAAACTATTACATTTAATTCTTTCCTCAAATAAATGACTAAATAATGGGAAACTATTGTTTACTGTGGGGACTGTGTGTAATGTAAATAGACATTGAGTCGGTTTTTACTCAGTGTAATATATTGTCTATTGTTCACAGTTCAGAACCTGAAGAAGTGACTACCACCAAACCAATACGCACATCAACAACATCTGTGCAGGCTCTCACCAAGAGGTATAATATTATTAATATTCTGCTATATATTGTTTTTGTAAAAGAAACACTTGAATGAACAGATTGTGACAAGAACATTTGATTGGGTCTGTCATTGCAGATTCAGTGGAAGTCAGGATGAGCTAAGGAGCAGGTTGGTGCAGTATTTTGTCCTCTGCAGACACATACATTTTTACTCCAATCCTTCGTCTAAGTTAAGGCACATTCAGTAACTTTGGCTTAATAATGCCTCTTTTCTACTGGTAGCACCCTCCCTTCCAGCAAGACTACGTCCTCCTACACCAAAAGGTATATTTCCATACTGGCACAACTAATGCAACAATAGCTAGTGATTTTTTTAAGGGAATTGTCTGAAAGATCTCCCTCTTTGTTGCAGCACATATTCAAACGTGAAGTCAGATTCTCCCAAGACGTATGTAAAGCTCCAGTCTATAACACATAATGCAAAAGTCAACAGAGACATTAAATATAATGTGCCATCACTACAGTACCACTACATCCAAGACTATTGTCACAGAGCAACCTAAGATACACAACAAAGAAAAATACTAGGCGTTAGGATTTTGTAAATTTCTTTTGTATTACTCTTTTAGCACCACAACCACTACAGTGACCAAGGATGGAACCACCATCACCTCCACCCAGAGTCTGAGGTAGAGAATATTACAACATTAATATGACTCCTCTGATCACACATCGAGTCTGTGTCAGTTTAAGGACAACTGGGTTTTATTGCAGGTCCCCTGGGATTACTTCTCCCACCACGACCTTCACTGAGAGGGTCAAGTCTTCAAGCAAAGGGTAAAAATATACTACAACTGAGTACACAGATTCTTTCCTTAAGTAAAAGTACACGTACAACAGTGGGAAAATACTCCGTTACAAAAACAAAATATGGAAACCGTACATAAATCAGTTAAAATTACCTCGACCAAGTACAATATTTAAGGTCTACTTTGGTGTAAATACATTGGTAATATATTATAACCCTGACAGGGGACATTCTGCATAGGGAGTACTTTTCTTTTTTTTGTACTTAAAGTATTTGTTTACCCCAATCCATATGTAAATTTACTCTGTATACTTCTTCCACCAGCATTTTATTGTTGTAGTTGGTCAAGGTGAAGCTAATTTCAACTATTGTATACACAGTAGTTGAATCCAGTGGTTCCAAGTTGGTCACAAGATAAATCTGATGGGTCATGAGATGATTAATGCAGTAGGGAAAAATAGGTTACACTTTATTTGGATTGTGCAGCTACAGAGTTATGGGGTTTATGGAGTTACATAATAATATTTCAATAGCTTATTAGTTGAGATTATTGATCATATATTTGTGATTTTCACAAAGGGCACAATACTCAACCTACTCACCTACCAAAACAACCAAAGTGACTGAGACAACTGTTACCAGCAGTAAAGAGTAAGATAATGTCACATTATTAAAAAACATTATTAAATTACAATAGTATTAAATATTTTACATCACTTATAATCTAACCTATACTTCTTTGCAGTCCAGAGGACAAACTCGACTCACTCATTCCCCCATCTATCAAGGATGATTTTTCGCCTACAGACAGGTGATACTTTCATTCATCAATCTTAGAAAATGAATTATATTGATCGTGACTCCAGAGAATCAGTGATTATATACTGTAAAATGTTCTTCTTTACAGCAAAAGAACTGTCTCCAGTACTGAGACTGTGACGGTGAAAAGCAGCCCTAATGGGTAAGTTTCTGCAGGACAGCTTTTACACAGTGACAGGGACTTTAAATACCAGTCAGATAAAATATTTGTATTGTTTTGTTTTTTCAGAGATGGCATTAAAACTACAACCACTACAAGGACGTCCTCTCTGTAAGATAAACCTTCATCAATCTTTTTTTTTAATAAATATGATTTCAATAAGATAAAGATCAGATAAAGATAAAGATGAGGCTTGTGCCCATAGTCACCAGTGCTGACACTAAGTGAGTGTCATCACATAGTGAGTATAATGCAGGGAGGCCGTACTATCTTGGTGAAATTATTCATCAGTCAGATGAAAGGACTTTTTTCATAAGGATAAGTCTGGTGATATTCTTACTTCTTTATTGTCAAAAAATTCCATCAAAATACAAAAGCAATTTATTACCAAGAACATGGGCATTGTGGTTATTTTCAGTCAATCCCACATACAGCACCATGCTGCCATTATTATACAGTAGACCACCAAAAGTGTATCAGTCCGCTGCTGAAAATAGTCCCCAACAAATGCACCATTTTCCCGTTTGAGTAATGTTTGTTAAAAACTATAGAGCCCAACTGTTAAAGAAATAACTGAGCCAATTTTTAAAACAAATTAAATTCTATGAATATTTATATCTCCATTAGGAACCAATGAGCCACAGACAGGGTAGAGATGTCATTATGTACTGAGAGACGTGCAAATGTTGGTCTTATCTTTTAAAACTGACTCAAACAAGGATATTGTCTATATACTGCAATATCACTGAAAATTCATTATGTAAGCATAATAAATGTTCATCTCCATTCCCACCTAGAGACATGTAGGTTAAT